AAGGAAGGAAGGAAGGAAGGAAGGAAGGAAGGAAGGAAGGAAGGAAGATTATAATGAGAGCGAGAGAGAGTCGCAGGGAAGTCCTGCCTTAGCACCACAGATGCCCCTGACACCAGTTCCATGTCACAGCCACCATGGCCACACCCCATGCCATGCCATGCCCCCACCCCCCACTCTCCGAGGTCAAACACCCCGAACCCCAATGAAATCGAGTTTGACACCCCTAACACAGACAGTCTACATCTCTCAGAAGCCCAGCCATCCTCAACTCCAGCACCTTCCAGCTGTGGGACTCCCAGAATTCTCTGCAACAGCCATACTGGCTGGAGAATCTATGGAATTGAAGTTTGCACATCTGGAAGTATCCCGGTTGGCTGCAGCAAGGATTGGAAGGAAGACTTAATGTAGTTTCCACCCACCCTTTTCTCCTGCTGCAAAAGCCATAACTTGGTTTACATGATATATGAAACCAGGCAAAGAAATCAGTGGGCTTGGACTTAAGATCGCTTGTGGGCACCAGGGGATGCGAGACTGATGATATATTTGACCCCCTCCCTCAGATTCAGTCTGGTCATCTCCTGCAACAAGGCCGGTGAACGGAAATACGCACATGCTTGGCCAACTTTTCAAATATAGGAGGGTTTTTAAAATGTTTTTAAGCTAGGTTTAACTAGCTGAAATTGCTTGGCTCAGTTACCCTTTTTCCTGATTTCCAATAATGTCATTATTCCCAAAACACAAGATTTGGTTATTTCACACGGCCATCTCAGCAACAACAACCCCAAATTTGATCCTCAACTCAAAATAAGAAATTACAAATTGCTCCATTACCCCCAGGATATGCCCAAATTATCCCCTTGGTAATTACTCTCGGTTTAAGAACCACTATTCTAATTATTTGCTCTTTCAAAATTTCTGTAAGTTGAGTTTTAATGCTCACTTTAATAAGTCACACTGTAGGGGAGATGGGCCGAATAAAAACTGAATGAATGAATAAATGAATTAATCAATCAATCAATCAATCAATGCCGTTTGAACAATTTGCAACTTACTTTAATGGTTTTCAAACATCTAACCCAGCAAAGACATGGGGATAATATTGACTGCAACCAACAATCTAGCTCCAGATAAAGATGTAGATATATCACACATATCTGAATCAGTGTGTTCACTCATTCAATTATACTGTTTTACAATACAGGTAGACCTTGAGTTATGACCATTCATTCAGCAACAGTTCAAAGTTACAACGGTGCTGCAGGAAAGGACTTACAACAATGGGTCCATGGAGTTCAATAAGACTATCCAATAAGCAGTTTTAGGTAATAAAGGAAGAAGTTTGGGAAAAATTTGGTTGAAATTTTTCAACCCAGCTTCTCTGACTCGCCATATCAGCCACTGATGGATGCCCACAATCTCATCTTCAGGAAAGCCTATGGTGCCAACCTTTGAGGCTGGCAAGTTCATTCCTGGCTGGTTCTGCCCACAACCAGCCACCATACATCGGTTCTTCGCCTCTGAGACAAGGACAGCCGTGTTGCAAAAGAGAGCAAGGGAACACCTTTACCTGAGAGCAAGCATCCAGGGCTAAGGAATGAGTTTCGTACTTTCTCACCTTGCAGCCACTCCTGTAAAAAAAAAAGAAAGGACGTACCAGTTAGAGTCAGGTTTTCTGGTTTTCCCATGGAAAGAGGAGAGCAAGCAAAGGAGAAGAGACACACACGGACAGCCAGAGACGGAGGGAACTGAAGCAAAACAAAGAGCGAATCCTGAATTTGTGGACGTTCAGTGAGGAAGGAAAGTCACCAGCCATTTCCCCCCCAGTATTTCCTGAATGGTCTTCTTGGTTTGAAATAACCAACACTAAAAGGCTTTTGAGTGAGCTCTATAAGGCAAAAGACACATTGCCAATACAGGACCATCCAGACCTGTTCCCCCAACACAAGACATGTGAGCGCAAGTGCTAAATAGCTGCATGCACGTTTCTCATTTTTGAAGGTAGGCTGAAAGTATATTCAGGACTAGCTGGATACCTACAAAACTATGTGATTGGGCTTAGTTTTTGGGAAGGAAAATAAGGGGGAAAAAATTCTGCCTCTGCGCTACCAGCATCCATCGGTATTCATCTGGCTAGCATCCTGTCAGTGTTTGAGAGAGTTGAAGCCTGTTTGGAAACTGAAACAGTATTTGCTGTGTGAGCAAGAAGGAGACAGCCAGGAGCCTGGGCGCGGCTTAGCTCAACTATTCTGTACTAAAGCTGCTTGGTGCTGTGAAACTGAAACTCCTCTCATCTGCTTGTGTTTTGCATTTGGAAGAGATTTCTTTTCAGGTGGGGAGGGGGAGTAGAACTCCTTAGCATCAGAGCATGTTAATAATAATAATAATATACAAAATACTAATGCTCTGATGGTCATTTCGAAAAACCCTTTCTTAGTGAGCACCTAGAAGGCAAGAGGAACATACGTGCAAAATTTCAAGTTTGTAGGCTTTACGGTTCTGCAGATTTTGTGATGATGCGTGAGTGCTTTTTCGCTTTCCTATATATAGATAAACGTGAACAGGGAACTGACTTAGGTGCAACCCTAAGCCAGATTCTTCCTTCATCCCCTCTTGAAAAGAAGACCCAAAGCACATGCTTCCTGTTTCAAACCAATCACCATGTACTTCAAACCAAGTCAACCGGTCCCTATTTTAAATTAAGGATTTCGGAAGGATCAAGCCATGGTTTATACCACAGTGTTATTCATAAATGGTGGCTCAAGCTAAACAGACTTTCCTGCATTTGGGACACAGCCCATCTAGGTTTGAAAGAAGAACATTCTCCAGCCCCAACGGACAAATAGATGTTTAGCCAGAAGAGGGAGTCATTTTGGCTCACATTAGTGTATGTCAGAGGTCTCCAAACTTGGCAACTTAAGACTTGTGGACTTCAACTCCCAGAATTCTGCAGCCAGTTGGCTGGAGAATTCTGGGAGTTGAACTCCACAAGTCCTAAAATTGCCAAGTTTGGGGGGCCCTGCCTGGTGCATATATATATACACTAATACACATTAGTGTATATTAGTGTATACAACTGCACTATATATTTTCCTATTAAATGCCCGATAGGATGATGGATCCTACAGGAGAAGGAATCTAGAACGGGGGGGCAGTTAGCAACCTACAAGTATTCCTCGACTTACAACAGTTTATTTAATGACCAAAGTTGCAGCAGCATTAAAAAAAGTGACTCATCACCGTTTTTCACACTTACGACCAGTGGTGGGATTCAAAAAGTTTTACCACCAGTTTGGTGGGCGTGGCTTGGTGGGTGTGCTTTGCGCATGTGCACACACTATGCAAGCGCGCACATGCCAAATGTGCACTTTGCACAGGCACAGAGGCGTTCCAACTCACTTCTTGCAAGCCTGCACTCTCCCGGTCGCTTCAGCAGCTGCCGCACGACACTATTCTGTCGTGCAAAGCAGCTGCGCATCAAAAGCAGAGGATAAAAGTGAATATGGGAGCCCAGGTGGGCAGGTGGGCCCAACAGCAGAGTGGTGGAGAGAACCGGTTTGGTCTCTACTGCGCATCGCCGCTATAGTCTCAGCCGAACCAGGCCGAGCCGGTAGAATACCACCACTGCTTATGACCGTTGCATCATCCCCAAGATCAAAATTCCGGCTCTTGGCAACTGATTCATATTTATGACGGTCACAGCATCCTGGGATTACGTGATCCGTCTTTTTGCAACCTTCGGACAAGCAACGTCAATGGGGTGGCCAGATTCACTAAACCACCATGTTACTAACTGTAACAATTGCAGCAATTCACTTTACAACGGTGGCAAGAAAGGCTGTAATGTGGAGCAAAATACATTTAACGAATGTCTCACTTTGCAACAGAAATGTTGGGCTCCACTGTGGTTGTAAAGTCGAGGACCATCTGTGATAAGCTGATGGTTTGCAATTGGCTATATTCAGGGGTGGGCTGCTAGGGGTTCGGAAGAGCCCCTAGCTAAGATTCTGGGCAGTCTGGAGAACCCCCAAATCCCACTCCTGGCTGGCCCCGCCCACCCTGCCCCTCCCCTCCCCGGGGTCCCCACACAGCTCGTTTTGGATGCAGGTAAGCGCAGGGTCCGCACGGAGACTCAGGGAGGGTGAAAAACAGGCCTCCCGGAAGTTCGGGAAGGCCGGAAATGGACCCGTTTCCAACCTCCACAGAGCCTCCGGAGTCTGGGGAGGCTGTTTTCACCCTCCTGGAGGCTCGAGAAAAGCCTCCGGAGCCCGTGGTGCAGGAGGCCGATGAGGCCACACCCACCATGGCCACGCCCACCCAGCAAACGGGCAGAGAACCCTTAGCTAAAATGTTTGAAGCCCTCCCCAGTTGTAATCCCTTACAACAGTCCTGTTGTCAATGGATTACCCCAGCAGCCATTTTGAGCCTGGGCCCCGCTCCTCCAAATTCACAAATTATGTGAATTAAGTCAAATTATTCAATCTCTTTCATCTAAACAAAGACACGCACTAAGATTTGCAAGAATCAGTCTGCCTCCCACCTACTTTCTTCCCCCCTGTTGTTGCAGATCAAAGACCAGCAAACTCTGACTAAATAGAACAATTATTCCGGCTGCCACCCTTCATCTCCATCAAATTATTTGGCAGGGATGAAGGCAGTTAAAAGGAAAACCAAGCCTTTAGCTGTTGGCTAGCTTTCATCCCGATAGCCTGCGTTGGTTTGTGTTATGGTCATCTAAGGAATTTACCCTGTGCAGCTACAGAGTGCAAGCAGAATGACCTTGTAATCACAATTCCATTTGCAAAGGGGGCCCCCTAAGGATTAACCCCTTGTGTGATTTCTTGCAATCCAAGCGTTACATCCAGACTAACTAATAAAGCCATCACACCCCTTGGAGCTGAATGGGAATTTGTTTGCAAGCCAATGTGCTCTCATGGAGAAGCAGCCAATTAAGACGAAGCAGTGAATAACCCACCACAGCAAGATTTGACCCTTTGGCCACACATTTCAAGGGTCTTTAACGAGAAACAAGCTCCCGGTTTCCCTGTGATAATGCCTAAGCCACACAATGACGGTTAACTTAATTAATAAGCAGGGGGCAAAAGCTGGCATGGAACTGGGATTCTGCTTACATGGCAAATTCTAAACCCCAAAGAAAATAACCTGGAGTTTAGGGTGATTTTACACACGCTGATATCCTCGCCAAAAGGAAAATTAAGGCAAATGTGTTTGCTTCTATTGCTACATTCTCAAAATACCTAAGACAGCCCACTTATTTTAAAAAAGAATGAGAGAGAGGGAGAGAAACAGAAAGAGAAACACAGAGAGAAAGAGCGAGAAAGAAAGAAAGAAAGAAAGAAAGAAAGAAAGAAAGAAAGAAAGAAAGAAAGAAA